TATTTAATGAATCGTAAATATTTAGATATTATTATTGATATGCAGAAATTTAGTTGAAATATTTTATAAAAAATACGTACGCAATGTAAGCTTGCTTTCCATCGTTGTACTTTTGAATATCGTCCATAAATTTCTTAGCACTCAAACGTTCTATCGATAATTTAACGTTACATTTGCTGCATGTTTCAACATGCTTTGGGTTTCTCATTAACTTTACATAATTATTACTAAATATTAATGTTAAAATTTTTATTTAGTGAGATTAAATGTGCTTATTAATTATTATATATAACAAACTTACGCAGCTATCATTAATTTCGTAAAGCACCATGGGCAAACTAATTCAAAATCTGAGGTATCATTTGGATCAAGAACCCATGGTTGATTAGTATTCTTTTCCCAAAATTGTTTTGATCGCTCATCAATATGCTCTCCATTATTTTGACTCCAAATCTCGTGCTATTAAAACATAAAGATTAATAACAATAATATTGGTTTTTATTTGAAGAATTCAACAAAAATAGTAACAATTTTCCAAAAAAAAGAAAATGCATTATGTGCATTTATAGAATACTAACTATCTTGGCCAATGGAAAGATATATTCTCGATCAAATAAACGACTAATATCTTCAAAGTATCGCAACGGTGAAAGCAAATGCGCGTGCCAAACCTGGCATACGTCTAGAAAATTGGATCAGAATTTAGCGTTTACATTAATAGTAACCAAAGTTTAAACAAAAAACTTGATAAATACTGTATATGTAAAATATTAGCGCATATTAATGCATATAAAACCTTTAATTGATAAATAAATACAGTCGATTCTCATAATTAAAAACATACACACAAAACACTTGCAATATTTACAATTAAGATGAAACTAATCCATTTAATAACAAGAAAAATTCGTTTATCAATCGAGAATTAACTGTATTTATGATATGCTTGGTTTATAAAACCATGTTCAACATACCAATTGGCGGAATAGGAACTTCATCGTCTTTAAAAGACTCATTATTTAATATTTTTAACCATAATAAGTATCTTCTCTCAGCACGTAATAAATATCGTTCATCGATTACACTATCCTGTTGTTCTAGGGATTTAAATTTTGCAAGCATTGCTAAATGCGCATGTAACATTTTAATGTTAACTACGCCATCAATGTTTACTTGTTCTGTTCTGGTTACCAGTGTAGTTAAATCGGACATTAGTGCTACTTCAGAGGGTACTTTATTTTCATTTGCGTTTGAAGACATTTCATTTTTTGGGAAAGAAGGCTGAGAGAAAGACTTTGAAGGTTCCTCCATATTTTCGTTGTATTCTTCAAACAGAGATGACACTTTAAGTCATACGTATTTATGATTTTAGGAAATTCTGTGGCACCTAATAATGTGCGTACACGTTTTCGATTTAATTCATTAGGCCCGGTCACAATAACAAATATTTTATGATACAAATAAAGTAATTTCTTACCGAAATAAATTGTTAATAATCGCTTTAACCCGACAAATTTGTGAATATAAAAAACTTTTAGTTAATAGCTAATGTAGATCAACAATCTATACTAATATTTTTGACATTCCAAGAATTCTGTCAATCGTGATCGAAAAAAAAATTTCTATCTTAAATTTTCTCTAACACAAGATAATTTTGGTTTATTTTAAACCCTTTTCTAACCCTAACTTTAGCTTAATGCAAATCATTTTATACCGATATTTGTCATTAATTAATATTACACGGAAATTTTGTCGCATTTACGAAACTTTGTGCCGTATTATCGTGTTACGTACGTACGTACCAGGAATGAAATGATGTGTAAGTATCACGAATACCAAGAATAGAGTGTCCAGGGCACTGCTGCTCTAACTGAAAAATTCTGCTGCAATTATCGTTAAATTAGCAAATTCTACGGTGACGTATAAATAATACTTTAAAAAACAAAATTACAACAAAAAGAAATTTCTAATTTGGTCACAATAGACTATATTCACCAATAATTCTTCTGCTCGCAGAATTCTGCACAGATTCTGCCACCGCAGTATCCTGGAACGTATTATATGCAATATCACGAAATAATGCAATTTAAATTTTAATTCACAAAAACCAATATCTGATTGGTTAATGTATGTAAAACGTGAAATTCTGAATTTTAGCTTCACAACATTGCAGCTTAATACACTCTAGATTCGTGTTGGTAACTTGTTTGGTTTACCAAACTAGGTAAGAGAATGTGATTCCGTATGCATTTATTCGTGATTTCTGTATTTATATATAGTATATAATTTTACATTAACCTATGAAACAAATTGCTTTCTTTAAAACTTAAAAGATTGAAGCATATTAATATTTGTCTTATTATTATCTTACATAACTATGTAATCAGTTTAAACTTGAAAATAATTTAGAATTGTAACTATTAGTGTTTCTCTGATAGTCAAAGTTAACCAGATTTAAATTTAAGGTTAGCTAAATTATTACATTAGGAAAATTGTCATAAAAAATCAGGTCAGGTTAAATAATGTATCAGAAAATTAATAACGATAATCAAAAAATAAAAAATGTTTACATCATCATAACCTAAATTATTGTTTCGAATTTTAGCAAGCAATTAAGATCTACTTTCGTCTTGAATCTTAATAGTCGTTGTACTATTCTATCTAGAGGATATGATTATCCTTTGATCAGGTGTGCAAATGTCTGTTCTTTTCTTTAATAAGAATAGGCTATTACGTTTTTTTTTCTAAAAAAAGTCAAGACAAATACAGCAGCTCGCCGGAACTTGGAGAATTTTCTTTAGTAAACAAAAAAACCAGCACTTCTGCATTTAGAGAATATAGGTTCATCTAGCTTGGGGCTGAAGCTAAGCCTATTGTTTCAAAATTTACATTTTTACTCTTTAAATCGATGATGTTTGCGTACGCTTTCTAAAAAGTAAATAAATAAAGTATCACGTATCCTGATATCATTCTATTTTTAGAATTATATTCTTTCGATAAAAATAAATACCAGGAATGTAGTGAAACGAAGTGGATGGCTCAATTCGAGTTTGGCGTTTGTACACAAAATCTTGGTTTTGATTAGATATAGTAATTTGATGGATCTCATGACATGATCTACAACCTTGATTCTCATGACATATGATCTACTTGTTAATTGACTTGTCCAAAGGCGATGTCTATTATAACATAGATCATTTACTTAATTTTGAATTGGTTAATTAGTTTCATGGTAAATTACGAAATCAGAACCTGATAAAGGTTCGAAGCAAATCACGCATTGTTACACTGACCGCGGATCATCACGGACAGTGTTGCTTGAAATTTTGAACCTCGGTTATTTAACCAGTTCAGGACAAAGCCATAAGACAAATTTATTTATACCGATTTACAGCGGTGGCGAAAAATTATGCCAATTTTTTTTTTTAGAAATCATGTGATAAAATTTTAAGTTCCATTACACTACTAGCTTGACCAATCAAAATTAGCATACATGTAAACAGTTTTAGCATTTTTTAAAATTTTAACGAAGTTTTCTCGATGATTACCTGACCAACTTCAATGATTTTTTTTATTTTAATTTTACGAATATGTAGGATTAAAAAAAAAAAAAAAAAACATCGAATTTTATTAGCTAGTCATCATATAACAGACTAAATATATAGAATAAATACTACAAACAAATATAGCAAAGACTGTTATATAATAAGACAATCAGACTACATCGGGAAAGTTTTTTAATAGATAATCATCGATATATAACAATTAATCGTTTTGTATTGATTAGAATATAACGCTAT